ATAATGTTTAGTCCTTTCTTCTCGTTTCGTTTAATTTGTAATCTAATTCCTTCTTTTTTTGGGCATCTACTGTCCACACAGCCCGCGTATTTTATGTAGTTAACATGGTTAATCAATTGCATTCACTTACGTGCTAATACCCTTGGAAAAGGTATGAATACTCTTTTCTACCCAGCTATGAGTAAATAGCAGGACAGACCGGGTTCTATAGCTTTGGATGGCAACTGATCTACCGCAGAAAAAAATGGCAACTTACTGCAGGAAAAAAATCTGCCTCGTCAGTCATGTATCGAAAGATACATGATCGGCTAAGCGTGTATCACACATGGCACATAACTGAACTGAACATGTTTATTCATCAATTATAAATCCTTTTATGAGACCCGCTATAATCTCTCCAACAAAAATACCTTCCACTTCTTTAAATTTTGCCTGTGGCGTGTTTCTTTCTTTGATTTTTTCTTCTTCTTGTTTTTGTATTTTAATTTCACTGCTTAAATAGTGTTCTAGAAGCAGTTGCAGCGTTTGTGCAGTTTGATTTGAAATTGTTTGGGGGATTCATACTGAAAATAGCTTCACGCGAATGAAACATATTAAGTCTTAGCGAAAACCATCCTTCTTCGTGATTAGGTCCCAGTTTTTCTGAAATATATGACAGGTATCTTTTGAAACGAAGTAATTTAAAATCAGTCTACTTTAGTATATCAATGAAATTTTAAAGACAGCCCTATTAAAATAAAATAAAAAAATAATTTGGCAATCACTGGATCCAGCCAAAGCTTTTATCCACTGGGCCAGGTGTCCTTGAAGATCCAGGGACTTGACCCAAAGTGTTGAGAGTTCAATACCTGGATACTGCAGTGGTGAACAAAGAACTTGAAGAGTTGAGTTAAAGGGAAATAACTGATACATCCGGAAGAGACATAACACGTGGAACTAGAACAATCTACTCCGGTGGATGAAATAAAGGGTTCAGTACGAAATTCCAATCACCTGAAGAAGGCCGGAACGTAACACAGCCGAAACGTCATGTGTATGGCAACAAAGATGAGGACAACAGTCCGAACAATGTAAATAGTGTAAGTAATTACAATACCTCATCTCAGATAGATAGATAGATAGATAGATAGATAGATATTTATAGAATGAGATAGATAGATAGATAGATAGATAGATAGATAGATAGATAGATAGATAGATAGATAGATAGATAGATATGAACGGGATCAACCATAGATAGATAGATATGAACAGAATCAACGATAGATAGATAGATAGATAGATAGATAGATAGATAGATAGATAGATAGATAGATAGATAGATAGAAGCGATGGGTATATTGTCGGCGTTTTATATTTTTCAGTTCGCGCCTGAGCGTTATTTGTATTTGATTTTGTTTACTGCACAATATAATAGACACAGTTGGACACCGCCCGTGAGAAAAAAAAGCACCATGAGGCTATTCATTTGGTCAGGAATTTGGAAACGGCATGCTGTACTGCTTGGCATTTGCACAGGAATCTGCAATAGGAACATTTCAAAATCATTGGGTGTCATTCTTAAGACAGTGCAGAGGATTGATGAGTCTAATGGTGATTACTAAGGCATTTGTTGTGGTCACTAATGATGATGACATGATTCCTCCATTCATCTTCATACAGGGCCTCAGACACAGCAGGAAAGCTTACATCACGTGCCTTGCAACCCCCTTGATTATTATGGTTGGGGCGCGTGTGCTTAAAAAAATTCCTTGTAACATCAGAGATGAACTGAAGGCAAGGTTTTTGGCACCATTCACCAACTTAAACAAGGAGATCGTCCAGAAGAGTTGCAAGAGATTCCAAAGTCGTCTGGAGGACATGGCTGAAGCCAATGTTGATTTTATTGAATAAATTTACTCTTTAGTATTTCAAGATATTTTTGTGTAATTTTGGTAAATATATCTGTTAAAATGAGATATCAGTGTTATTTTCATTTTTGCCTCATTTAGAGGACAATTTATCCATTGTATCGTGTAGATAGATGTGTCAGGATATATAGTCTAGACAATTTTGTTTAGTTTCTGTTTGTTTATTTTTTTACCACGTTTGTTATGTCACAGTGTGATATCAAAAAATCTGCTAAGGTGAAATGTTTAAGAATATGAACGCACGTACTGAAGTTAATATATCGATTAAAGCACTTTCTGTATCGTCATAGTAGATTGTTCATTAGAGTAACATTTATAAATAAAAAGTGTTGGCAGATTCTTTACAATGAGCAGTTAATGCATTTAAGGGGTTGTTTTATAAAATATTCCTCGAGGTTTCTCCGATATATTCCTTCTGGCAATCAATACAGGTGATAGAGTAAATTCCTCCTTCAAATTTTAGCTTATCCTTTTGTTTTAGAAGCAGTTGTAAATCATTTTTTGTTCACCTTTGATAAATTCTTTTCAATTCGAGCTGTAATAGAATTAGTGGGTAGAACAATCTGCTTTAAATATTTTACGAATATCATTATCTGTGTTGAATATCAAATAATAAGATAAAATAAAAATAAAATTATATTCTCTCAGAGATATCTATCTATCTATTTATCTGGATAGATAGATAGATAGATAGATAGATAGATAGATAGATAGATAGACTCCTTGAAAAATAGGAAACAGTTAGGATACATGACTTACCACATCATGAAGTAATATGACAGCTAAAAATATGTTTGCAGCCTAATGTGTATATGTGGGCCTGAAATGTTTGTTTGTTTCCATATGTCTCTGTGTGTATATGTGTGTGTTTGTGTTTGCGCGTGTGTTCGTGTGTGTGTGTGTGTATGTCTGTGAGCGAGTGAAATCTTAAATGCGAATATAAATGAAATAGTAAGATGAAATAAAGATAGAAGGGAAGAAAGAAAGAATGAAACAAGAAAAAAACATGTCTAAAAGAAAGAAAGAAAGAAAGAAAGAAAGAAAGAAAGAAAGCAAAAGAGGTTGTGTAGCTCAAGGCAACACATCAAAAAGAAAGAAAGAGCCGGAAAAGAAAGATGTCTAAAAGAAAGAAAGAAAGAAAGAAAGAAAGAAAGAAAGAAAGAAAGAAAGAAGACGATATATCAGAAAGAAAGAAAGAAAGAAAGAAAGAAATTTCATCCCTAAGGAACCTCTGCAAAGAAAGAAATAGAAGAGGAAAAACTGAAAATAAATAAATAGAATTAAGTTGTGAAACTCAAACTGGCAGGATGCGAGTGTGGGGCCGGGCAATCGATGTTGATGTATTGTTGAATCCAGGGCTCAAATGATAAGATGAAGTCCACTGTGAAGAGGAGAAATAGAAGAGAAGGGATGAATTGAGCTGCGTGAATGCTTTCAAGACAAGCTTGGATAGTTGGAGGCCATTTGGGCCTCTTGCCAAGTTGCGCGCCGAAATGACAATAAATCTATCAGTTCTAATTACTCTAAACCCAAGCGAACGCATAAGGAAGAAGTTTGCCTGCTTTCATTCTGGTCTCATGTACATCCATATAGAGATAATCACATCACCGTACGCGCACACGATTAAATAGAGACGGAGATCTCGTGTAAGTCTGTCAGGAGTTAAGCAACCTTCTTCAGGGTTCGAAGACGGACTGGTAAGTATAAAGTGGGGATACTAAAATCAAACAAGTACGAAAAATATGGATACAATTGGGAAGTGTTCTAACGGAGGACGGAATGTGCAATACTGAGATCCGAAGATACGTTCCGATGGCCAAAGATGCATTCCTTAAACAGAATATTAAGAGAGAGAAAAAATTTTTGTTAAAATCAAAAAGAAGAGTATTGAACTGTTACGTGATAGATGTCCTACTGCATGGCAGCGAATGCTGGGCAATCTCCTCAAAGATGAAGAAGAGATTTGAAGCAACAGAAATGTGTTTCTACAGAAGGATGCTGAGAATACCATGAACCGAACATGTGAGCAACGAAGATAATTTCGGAAACAAAAAGGAAACTTATATTTAACACCAAGAAAAGTTATTTTAAACTTCTGGAGCACGTAATGAAGAAGGATGGCTTGGAAAATCTGATACACACAAGACAAATTGAGGGAAAGAGGGACAGAGGAAAGCAGCACGTAACATACTTGATGACCTTGAGTAAATGGATGTTAGAACAGGGTTTTAAATCAATACAAAAACCTGAGTAATAATTGCCGTTTCAAAGTCAGAAACACAGATAATACCAACAAGTGTAATTGTAGAAATTCTAACGAATGCAAAACAGATATCGAACAGACTCTCTTGTTTACCTAAGCACTATTTATACTATAGAAAATCCAACAGTTACAAAATTTTATATCGGGGGTACCAAGAATTTCTTTAAATGTAGGTGGTAACAACATGTATTATCTTCCTCGTATAACGCGTACAAAATAGGACGTCACTTTCTAAATATTCTTGGAACTTAAAAGAAGTTAATAAAACCGCTTGTAAATCTTTAAATGAACCGTCCTTCTTATGTTTACATGAAAAATTAGAAATCATCAGATTTGATGACAAAAAATTCCTATTAAAACAAAGGAGTGGATTAACTGTAAATTGCCGATACAGTTTATCTTTTACCTTAAAATATAGTTAATTATCTTAAAAATTATATATTACCAATTCTTATAGCCATAATTTATTAGTATATAATTGTTCACCCTCTACGGGTAATTACCTTATTGTTTTTATTCAGCTTTAATATTGCTATGTATTGCCTTCCAGTTAGCATTATTATTATCTTATATAGATGTTTCACATTTTTAATATTATCTACAGATGCCTATATGAAACTTCCTGAATCTAAAAACTTTACGTCTGATTAACCTAACCTACCCTTCTACGGCCTTTTTAAAAGTTGAACATGTCATATTTATTTACAATCACAATACATTTGTCGCTGACATATTTATGCAATCGTCAGTGATGACCTGCCTATGTTCCGGTTTATCATGACCTAAAAAAATAACTCACCCACCTCCACCCTCTGAGTTTCAGTTTATACGTTATGTATATAGATACAAATATCAAAGTAAATGCTCTGTTTATAATAAACAGTATTAACTCGGCATGAATGATCGAGAAATTTCATAGAAAATATGTATCCTTCGAAAGGAATCGAATGTGTATCCTACACAGGATATCCATTACATATATATATATATATATATATATATATATATATATATATATGTGTGTGTGTGTGTGTGTGTGTGTGTGACACACACACACACATACCCACACATAGGTTGTTTGGGTTAGATTACGTTTTATTTAACTACATATAAAACTTATATAAAAAAGGAAAATAGAAAAAACAGAAGTAGAAAAATAATTTGGTATACGCCCCCATACAACTAAATGGTAAAGAACAAATTAGGACAAAAATTCCTTGCATTAATAGTCAAGCATTTTCCTAGAGAAGTAAACTAATACTATTTTCAATAAAAACACTAAAATTGAGTTACAGCTGTACGGAAAACTTAGAAAAATTATTAAGAAACATAATGCTAATATCTTGAATAAACACTTAGAACAAAACAAAAAGAATTTAGACAATATGAAAATAAAAAGCTATGAAGATAAACAAAAATTATGTAACTGTAGAAATCCTCATAACTGTCCTCTACAAAATAAATGTCACACGGAATCATTAGTATACCAATGCAATATCTCATCTATTGTGAATCCCGAAAATATACAAATCTATATGGGTTGCACAAGCCATGAGTTCAAAAAGAGGTTCAATCAGCATCAAACTTCATTTAGGATAAATAAATACAGAAATCAGGCATCCCTTTCAAAATATTTCTGGCATTTAAAAGAATCCAGTAAAACACATAGAGTAAAATGGAAATTAATAAGAAAAGCTAGAATATGTAGGTCATTAAATGACCCATGTCCTTTGTGCATACATGAGAAACTATATATTACTAAGTTTATAAAAAATAAAAATTTACTGAATCAGAGAAATGAAATAGCTATTATTTGCCGTCATTGTCAAAAGTTTTCCTTAAATAATATTTAAAAATAAATTTTTTAAAAATGGGAGCTGGTAATATACATATTTATATTTGATATGGAATTTTTTTTAAATAATTTAAGTATGAAGTCGCAAAATCTCTTTAAGATTTGTCATACAACTTTTCTTTCAAAGATATTTTGTATATTTTTAGGCAGCATATTTTTATTCAAAACAGGTTTGGTTAAATAATTTAGATATATGAATTTACAAGTCTACCAAAAATTAACCCACGAACATGAAAGGATCACAATGGAAACTAATCGTCATGATATGTCTAAACTATTTAACCAAACCTGTTTGAAGATATATATATATATATATATATATATATATATATATATATATATTATAATTATTTTTTTTTCTAAAATATGATTACATCACGACACAGAAATTTTATATTTCAAAACTTAAAGAAAATTATACATTTAATTATGAAAATTAAACTTTAAATCCAGAGATTCGTTCCATTGCCAAGCGATGATAGGAATACTTTTCTAAGAAATTTACTTAATTTATATGCGTGCACAATTTACCTTTACAACTGAAAATATTAAGATTGTCTGCGCTTATAAAATAAGTAAATTTCTTAGAAAGTTATTCCATTAATGTCATGAACATTACTTCTTTGTATAAATTGTTTCTTTATGATATAATATATATATAGAGAGATAGATAGATAGATAGATAGATAGATAGATAGATAGATAGATAGATAGATAATTTGTTAAAATATTCTGCTTTAGTAGTACACGTAAAAGATAAATCTAAGAATATTAGTAAAACTTATTTCCCTCAGATTTTTAAAAGAAACACTGATGTTTTATTTGCATTGATAGAAATCTGCCATTGGATAAAGATTCGGTTTATGCTGAATTTCGAAGAAGTTGAATGCCGTTACGAAACGCGGTTCTTGCCCGTGCAAGCAACGTCTGTTTGAAAGCGTATCTTATAGACGGAAAGGTAATGCAGCCATCGAAATCTATTCAATTAATGATTATATTTAACTGTTATACCCCTGGAAAGCGACCTTCTTTCTCTGTGCTGAATATGGACATGGACAATTCGCTCTTTCCGGAAATCAATGCCCAAATGATGTCCGTTTTGGCTTTTCACTCGATCTAATGGATACGGCAGACCCTGGTGCAGGATGGTTTGAAAGGAACAGAGGATAGTCAAGGCCAATAGAGAAAAGGATCAAAATGGTGAACAGCGATCGCGCGGAGGCTGTCGGGAAACGTTTTCAGAAGATAGGCGAAGTAAAGACGAGAGGAGAAATCTACGTATATTAGTACAAGAAAGGATATAAGTATTTCGGGAAATATTTTGATATATCCGGACAGGAAATCAGACTTAAATATATAAATGCCTAAAAATATATGCTTGTGTGACGTTCTTGATGGAGTACACATCAGCTGATAAGTTATACTGGCTGTAGAAGTCATAAGGTGATTATATATATATATATATATATATA